GGTATTCACCATAGGCAAAGTGCTTATCTGCAGTGCACTCTTCCAAGGAATAATAGCAGGAGAACATATCAGGGTGTATACAACAGCCCTTGGCCAGACACTGGGCAGGAAGTTCTCTTGATCACCGGGCACCTCCAGGTTTTAAAATTCTGCAGTCCTCTTTTGTATTAAGATGGTGATAAGGACCTTGATTTTCTATCTTTGTCCACCTAAAGTGACATATGCATCCTTCACCATTTAGTGGTTCCTCATAAGCCAGAAGTAGGAGGTAGTGTGGGTTATAATCAGAGTGTTTAGATGCCTGCCATCTTCTGCTTCATAGCCACATGACTGGACACTTTCATCCACTGAATCTTGACTTGGTCCCTGTAATTGGTCCCCTTCAGGCAGGTAGCAGGGAACGTCACAGTCATGCACATATCACTGCAGGAGAGGGATAAGGCCTGGGAGGCCTCACTGTCAGGAAGAAATACTGCCACTGGTGCTTCACAGATGTTGCAGCCCCAGTAGGAGGCCATTAGGATCATCCAGATCTTTAGCCAGTCACAATGTTAGTGACAAGAAGAGGCCTCATTGTCCCTCTCAGTAGATAGATAGTGCTGTACTTCCTCACATGCAATTCTATAACACCTTATGTGAGGAGAGTTGAGAGGCCTTTAAATAAGGGAGAGAACACAGGGCTAGAGATGGATTAGAGCTTAAAGGTATTGGAGATGTAGACTTTATTTTTAAACCTAAAAATACAAAATAAAGAAACACTAATGACTTTTTGTCTAAAGCACCTGCAAACTCTATGGCAAACATTTTTATTATAATAATAATTATAGAAAATATCACAAATATACATTTTTTATTCTTTTTATTTTGAAGAAGTGTGGGACAGATCTGGTTGACAATTTCAACATTTGATTGGTGTTTGTATATTTAGAGGTACAGTATAATATCATAATATATTATATAATATATTATTGGCAATAATTTAATTATATTTTAGAGTAAATTGAAAAGGGCAACAATAGACATTCCAAGTTACTGAAAATATTTTCCACTAACATTTCCCATTTTTTAAATTATTTTGGTGAAAGATGGGCTGTTTATGATACTGAACAATCTTCACTTTGTGATTTTAAGTCAGCCCTTTAACACACGTCTGAAAGTCGAGTCCCAGCCCTGCATCTTCACATGCCTCTGGACACTGGGGTTGTTCTTACACACTATGGGTGTTGTTATCACAAATTAATTTTCAATTATCTTATTAGCCTCTGTGGTACTTAAATCCAAGCTGAAAACCTGCTGAGCACTCTGTCATTGGGTTTTCTCTTGAGGGTCCAATTCCCTTCACTGTGCTTTGCTATCTGCTTTTCATGCTTTTTGCCTGGACTAGCTTGCTATGTACTGATCTCTTTCTTTGTCTCCCAAACAAGTTCCCAGATTCTCCGTTGCAGATTTGCTTCAAGACTATCCAACTATGAACCTCATCAGTCTCCATTTTTTGGATGCTCCTTAGAATTCTGTAGTATAATCTCCCTCTCCTGCTCTGTTTATCTCCACCACTGCCACAGCTTGCTGTGTACCAGCCTATGTGTGGATTCAAGTGCATACCTGAAAATTATCATTCAGTACACTCCCAGAGTGCTGACTTATTACATGCCCAACTTGACACCATTTACTTTTCTCTGCACTGTTTTCTATGTCCAACAGAGACGTTCAATACCTTCAGGTAGTCTTCACTCCACTTGAATTTTGTTCAAAGTTTGTAATGTTGTAAACTAAAATAGAAATACATTTATTTGAAACGAAAAATATTTGTGTATGTGTAATTGATTTACTCAAATTATTGTGCAATAACAAAGTGGAACATATTCTGGACATATTTTACATAAAAAAGTATTGATTTGATAACTTCACAATCCTTTGCTATTTCACTCTAAATTGACCCCAGGAAAACATCTAATTTCCTTGAATTAAATCCATATGTGTGGAGCTCAATTGGTTGACATAATTTCAGAAGAAATATACCTTTCTATATAACGTCCATCATTTGACAGTGCATGTTGCAGAAGAAAATTCACCATAATGACCAAGGAGCTACAGTAAGTGTACAAGTCCATGAAAATGAGCACAGCTGTTCAACCATGAAATGCCATGAAACATGGTGGCGGCAACATCATTTTAATAACAAGAAGGTGAATGCCATTAAATGGCCCAGCCAAAGCCTGGACTTGAATTCCATTGATAATCTGTGGAAGGACTGTGGAAGATTCTGACTCACCAAAACTCCACATCCATCTTGACAGTGCTTGAGTAAATCTGCATGGAAGAATGAACAGAAAATACCAAATCCAGATATGCAATACCAACACAGAAATATCAAAGAAGATCAAAGCTGTAATTGTTACAAAAGATGACTACAAAATACTGATTTAAGGGGTGAGTGCACAGCAGTGAATAAAATATATCTGATATTTAATTTTCATAAAACAAAATTGTTACCCAATAAAACATGCACCATTTAATTGTTGCATATATAGTGTGTTTTAAGAAAAAAAGCACTTCAATTAATTCAAAATTCTTGTCATAACCCAGCAATGTTTGCAATTTAACCATGAGGGGAAGATGGAAGAATACCTTCTGAAGACATAAAACAGTACAATAGTATTCATACAATACTACAATAGTAACTTGTCTAAGACAACTTCTGCAAGCTTGTGATTTAATTTCTTACGTTTGTACTAATTCATTGTACAAAATGAACCATCGAGATGTGGGGAAAGTTCACTTGTTAATTTGGGTAACAAAATAGGATGGATCATTAACAAACAAGAAACATAACTATCATTACATATTAATCACGTTGTATAACTTATATACATACATTAATATCTAGTTATACTGTGTTGAAAAGAAAGCTGTGTTTTAGAAGAAAGCCTGTATGTTTGTTTTAAAAAAACGTTTGTAGTTGTTTGTAACAGGGCAGCCAGAAGTGGAATATACAAACAGGGATGAGGCACCAGAGGGCAGCATTGAGACACTGCAAAGACAGCCGATTTCTATGTTCTTACGTGTTAATTAAGAAGTTGGCTTCACTTGCAGGAAACTAAATCCCAATAAATAGACCAGGGGAATAGACAGAGATTGTTTACTAAGTCCTTCACAGTCCTCTTGACAGTGATAACCTTGATATCAAGGTGAGATTATCTGTAGTAATTTAAAAGGTTTAAAACAAAAACAGAGACTTTGGAATTTGCATACTGTAGTTTTAGAACATGTGGTTGTACACCAGTTGTACACATGGTACAACTGCAGGCAGGCTCACATGGTAATGATTTATTTGAAACAATTCAGCTTGATTTTCACTCTAATCACGGCACTGACACTGTTCTTGTCATGCTCTTTAATAATTCGTTTGACTCAGTGGCTATACATATTCTTACGCTCCTTGATCTCAGAGTGGCTTTTGATAAACTACATCATTCAGTGTTGCCCAATGACTGCAAACATTCTTTTCTATCAATCTTGTCTTTAACTGGTTCTGCTCTTGTTATACTGGAAGGCAGTATTTTATTTCTCTTGGTACTCATAAATTGTGGTGTGCCTCAGGATTCAGTATTGGACCAATTGCTTTTTTTATATGCTTCCTCAGTCAGATAATATACAAACATTGTTAAGCAGTTGATACTAAGATACAGTATGTTAAAACCTCTTCCTCTTCTGATCTTACCTCTCTGTCACTTGTCTCTTGTTTGAATGACATCAAACTTTGGTTGACATAAAAATTCTCTGAAGTAAACATACTGTACATTTTACCATTGATTAACACATTTCAGCCGGAAAATAATGGTGTATGGATTTCCCATTCACATACCAGCCATAGTCAGAAATCTGTGAGTCTTACTTGATCCTCTTCTGTTTTTGAGCACCAAGTGGAAAATTTGATTATGAAGTCTTTTTTACATCTCTGAAATATTGTCCACATTAGGCAATTTTTATCAATGTCCGATTCTGTGTGTCTTATTCATGTTTTTAAACATCAAGGCTTGATTTCTACAACTCTTTACTCGACATTCTCCCTAACACGTTTCTCAGTTATTTGCAATATGTCCAAAACTCTGCAGCTAGATTTAACTCACACCAGATCGTCAGTGCAAGCAGCATAATACCCCTGCAAATCAGGTTCTACATCGGTTATCCAAATAAGTTGTCATGTATTCAATATAATATTATTGTTATTCATGGTTTACCCTCCCTTTCCTAGGCTCCATTCAAATTTAAAACTAAAACCCAGACTTTTGGTGAAATTGCATTTATTGTCGCTGCTCCTTTGTTGTTATATGCCTTTCCTCCCACTGTATGAAAGACACATTTTTGAATTTTTACTAGGCTTTATGTCTTATTGCCCTTCATTCCATATGTATGAATCTGTATGTTCTTGTTTAATTGTTTTTCTTTTACTTTTTTTCTTTATCACTATGTGCAGTGTCCTTGGGTTTCAAAAGGTGCTTTATAAATTGCAGCATTATTAAAATTGAAAGAAATAGGCTTACCTTAAGTTGCAGCCTTGATCTTTTCCATGTCAACCCAGTGGTAAGACAAGAAGAATAGTGAAGTGGCCTAAATAGGATCGACCATCAAGATTATATTCCACTGCTACTTACCTAATTAAGTGGGAGTTAGGCGTGCATACATACAGTGTAGAAAACAAGGTCAGGTAGGTTAATAATAATAGGATTGATCCATCTTGTGCTTGAACCCTAATATAAAAAGGATGGCTTGATGGACAGGTATCCCCTAGTACACTACCATCTGAGGGAGATCTGTTGCAGATGTAGTCTTCTCTTTTTACTGAGATATTTTGTTGTCAAAGGGAGCTTAGCATCTGATTTCCTTATAGAGTTTTACTGAGTTCAAAACAGCCAATCAGATGTGAGTGTCATCTTCCCACATCCTCTTTAAGACTCTGTGTCCAACAGAAGTCCTTCAATCCAGATACTATAGGTCAACAGAGAAGCTGCCTTGAGCTCCTATGAGACAATAAAATCAATAGTATGATCAGTCTGTATATTACCCTTATGTTCTTCTGTGAAGTAGGTGAGTCTAAATCTACGATTTACTTTAAATAGTACTTAGCTCTAAACAAACACTTTATTATGTTCACCATTTAATCTTGTGTAAATCTTCTTGCTTTCAAAGAACGTGAATGTATTTCAGCCAATGTGATCTTGTACAGTATATCTTGTGAAAATATTTACCCAACAGAGATATTTGTTAGACTCATTTTTGCAATTTAAAAATGTTGTATAGTTTAAAGAAGTGCTCCACATATTATTTCTATTGTGGTTATTGTGCCTATTTTATTGTAATATTTGGAAAATACCACAACACTTTGCTTTTAATTCTTGCCATGGATTAAACACAGTCCCGATTGTTTTCTTTATTTACAGATATTTCTCAAGCAAATATGGTCTTTCAGCCCCATCGTACAGCATTAGTGCAGCTTGGAGACAAAGTCACTATGGAGTGCTATTTCAACACTGGCATAGTAGCTCAGATGTTTTGGTTCAAGAAACCCATTGGAGAGTCACCTATATGCATGGCTACATCTACATCTAATCTCAAGGGGATAATCTCTTACGGAGAGTTTAAAAATAATGAAAGAGTAAAGGTGACAAAGGATAAAGGAAGATTTACTCTCATTTTCATCAGCACTGAATCAGCAGATATGGCTACATACTTCTGTGCAGCTTACCACCATAATTACATGAGCTTTGGGAATGGGACCCTACTGATTCCCAAGGGTAAACTACAATAATAATGTACTGATATTTGTGTATTTTAACCTTTCCATCTTCTAACTTCCACATCCATGTCTTATATGCTGTATTACCACACATGCATAGAAGAATAATGTAGAAAAAGTATTTTGTAAAACTATTTGTGTTGGTTTGTTTTGAATATAAATTTGATTTTTTTTAACATAAAAAGAAATGTAGGAATTTTCTTATAAAAGAAATGAATATTGTGTCAGTCAAGGTTCACCAGGTGCAGTAGAGATTTACACCTGCCAGCTCCCTATTTGTAATTTTTACATTTTCCACTGAATTCATCTTATGTTGTTGAAACAAATCGATAAACATCAAAAAACGCTTCACTGGCATTTGCACTCATTGATTGTACTGATGTTAAATATGATTTTAAAACATTCTTTAAAGAGAAATTAACCATCTCAAGTTTTATTTTCAGATTTGTGGCAAAAATACATCTGTACTGTATGTGAAAAAAATTAACTAAGGTAGTGTTAAAAGAACATCTTAGAGTTTGTTTTGTTTTAACTTTGTTTTAAAACTTTAACTATATACAATTTGAAATCAGGATGAAAGACAAAAAGCTGTTCATAGTTGGCAGCCACTGTAGTAATTGTACTTCATGTGTTATAGGTAATTGCAATCTTGGTTTAGTGTAACCGTCCACTTAATGTCTGTACTGGTGATAAATACATTTATTTATTTTAATTCATGTATATTTTTGTAGGGTTAGAGACAATGAACAGGAGTGTTGTGCAGCAGCCTATGTCTGTCCAGGCCAAGCTAGGAGATGATGTAACTCTGCAGTGTACAATACAAACAGAGACCTGTGCAGGAGAGCACAGTGTTTATTGGTTCAGACATGGATCAGGAGAATCCCTTCCAGGAATTATTTACACTCATGTAGACAGGAGTGATCAATGTGAGAGGAACTTTGAGGCTGGGAGTCCTATACAGAGCTGTGTCTATAACCTCCCCAAGGGGGATCTTAACCACTCTGATGCAGGGACTTACTACTGTGCTGTGGCCATATGTGGGGAGATCTTGTTTGGGAATGGGACACTGCTGGAGATTACAGGTAAATTACTTTCTAATCTATTACTGTACTGTGTAATGAATACTGTTTATTATGGGCATGCTAAATACTCAGGTTATTCTTAAAAGTACAGTTATTTGTTATTGTTAGTTAAAGTAGGCATCCGAAGAAGGCTCCACAGCTATAATGTTGTGATTGTTTTCTTCTCTTTTCAGAATGCACTAAACCTTTACTTGTTCCTTATTTGTTACTATTTGTTATTTGTCACTATCAATGCTTTTAGCCATCAGGTATCTTTTCTTGAGTTGCATAAATATCTAAATAAATAAACTATCACTTATTCTTAATGTACATACAGTATAAATATAAATGCCTATATATTTTCTTAATAGATGCAAACGTTTAAGTCATTGTTTCGTTTTTTTAATTTGTGCAGATTTTGAAATCATCTAGTGTTATTTATATACATTTAAAGCTTCTGAACTGTGTAAAATTTTTCAACATTTAGAAAACATTTACTTAAATTATGCTATATACTAAACACCATCTGAATTCATATGGAGCACTGTTACAATTTATAGATTATATATGTATTACATTATCCAAGACAAAAAGTCAAACATAAAATATTCAACAAGTTTATGATTTAAAATTCAATAATAGCATATCTAATCTATTAGAACAGCTCTATATTTATACATTGCAGATAAAAGTAATCTTGATACTGCTATCCTGGCCCTGGGAGTAACAAACACTGTGTGCGTGATTGTGATTGCTGTCCTTGTGTGGACCAGAAATATACACTGTGTAGGTGAGTTGTGTGTGTACTGTATTTCACTACCAGCAGACATCTTCAAGTGAAGGAGATAATTAACAGGTAATTCTAAACATTTAAAATTGTATATATATATATTCTGTGGTGCAGTAATAAACATTGCTGGTTTACAGTACTGGGATCTGGAGCTTGCATGTTCTCCACCAACTCGTGCAGGTTTCCTCCAGGTGTACTGGTGTCCTCCAATGGTCTAAAGAAATACACCACTATCAAGTTAATTGGCTTGGAAAATTTGATCTGGTGTGTCTGTGTGTGCCCTGTGATCAACCAGAGCTTCGTCCACAGCATACCCTGTCTTGAGCCCATTCCTCTCTGTAACCTTGAATTGGAATCAGTCAAAAAAATGGATGGAAATATTATGAAAAACTAAATTCTAAAGTGTAAAGTAATAATCTTAAATAGTTTTAAAAACAGATTCAATTTTGGAAATTAAAATAAAAATCTTCCTTGGATGCAGAACACAACTTAATAAATATAAATGTTAATTTTAATCCTTTATCTTTAACTTTACTCACTGGAAAGTGAGATAATACCACAGTTCACCAAGAACATTTTTCAATAATACATAGTACACTGAAAGCATTATAGTACTTTTAAATGCACACGTAGGATGGGCAATTAATGTTTTGTTATAAAATGGACTCAAATAGATATTTAAAATATGGACTGTTAATAAAATAAATACTTTAATAAAATAAATGTTTTAATAAAAAATATAAAATCTAAACAATTTTATTTATGTAACATTTGACTTATTTAATCAACTTTTATTTCTTCTTTTGATTCAAAGTCATGGAGTTGAATAATACATTTGTTTCTCTTCTAACCATCAGTCCTTAAATATCAATACATTTACAATGATATAATTTGAATGTATATTGGAATTGCATAAGGAAGAATTAGTGGAATTACTATTAACAAAGAGGAATTATTAACACTGATTTACACACAGAAACACTGAAATTTGTTCTCTCTGTTCTCTAGCTTGCTCCTCAGAAAATTCACAAATCTGCCACAGTAATGAAACCAATAACTCTACAAACAATCAGGTAATGTATCATTCTTCAACTTTGAATGTGAATTATGTTCCATTGTGATCTCTTATGCTGTTATCAAAAGAAAACTAAAACCAGAAATAAATATAATTTAATGAAAGTGTAGATTTAATGCAGATAGCAGAATTAAGAACATTATTATAATAGGAACAGGTAACGGGCTTATTCCATGCTGAAAAGAAATGAAAGGAAACACAATGTTACAGTCGTGGAGCCTTCTTCGGGTGTGAGAAAGACAGGGTAGACGGCAAAGATTAAATTGCACAGGAAAACAAAAGCTGGAAAAGTGGAGGAGGAAGGAGAGGGGAGAGGCAGAGAGACCATTCTGGAAGTGCAAAATGAAGAGGGGTGGAGAAAGGTGCGAAGTCAAAACCTGCACAAGAATAGAGAAGATTATATAAACATAAGTCGGTCATTGAGAGAAGGGGGAAGGTGTGAACCTAGTTTCAGGATGAGTTTCTTTTCTGTTGTCTTTCTGCTGTTGAGAAACACATCTTTGAGAACAGAGACAGAGAGATCAGTATGATCATGGCTGTCTGAGGTGAAATGCAAAACTATGGGCTTGAAAAAATCTTTAATTTTCACATGTTCTCTGAAGTGGTCTCCTAGTCTCCTTCCGGTTTCCCCAGCATAAATAGCTGGGCAATTTTTTGCAAGAGATGCAGTAAATGAGGTTTGGAGATATAGGATATCATCTGGGTGAGGAACCCTGAATGATCGTGTTGTTAGATATGTATGCAGGTGATACAGTGAGTTCTGTTGCAGGGGAAAATGCCTATAGGGGATGATTGCCGAGTGCAGTTGAATATATTGCTGTGCCTGTGATTCTATTTTAAAACTAAAGCATTTATAAGAAAAATATTTTAATGTAACAGCAAATACTTAAAAAATTAAGAAGCTTAATGTTTCAGAAATGTCCTGATTGTTACACAAGAGAGTGAAACTTGACACATACGAAGAAGACTCCACAACTGAAATGTTGTGTTTCTTTTCTTCTCTTTTCAGCATGGAATAAACCTTCACTTGCTCTTTATTATTTATTATTTACTGTTTTGTAATGTGAAGTACTGTCTACATTGTGTGGATTTATCTGTTGTACTATATTGTCTGTTGTACTGTGCATGCACTGATAGAACAGCACAAATAAGAATCCCATTGTACATGTGCTGTGGCAAATAAGTTCAGTGTCCTGAATGATCTTGTGTTCAAGTGTGCTGAGCTTGTTGCAGAGAAGACTGCTACTGCATATTCTGAATGGCTCCATCTGTATTCCCATGTGAAAAATGCAAGGATACCATAAGAAAATATCTAAATAAGAACAGTACACAAAATAAATCTGTGATTTTGGTTTTACAAACTTAAAAATTTAACTTATACTGAGTGTTATATATGATTAAAGCTTGTTTTATATCTCAGGACACTGGCAACCTTTTGTTTTTAGAAGAACATTTTAGAACATTTCGCTTGTATTATCTCATCAAATTATTAATTTTCCGACCAAAGAAATGCTATTGGATGGAATTTTTATAGCAGAAAAAAATACTGTATATTCTGTTATGGAATACTGATCTGTTACTGAACTATTTCTATTTTGTCAATGACTTAAGAAACACCTGTCCGGCGGATAATGAAGTTCTGAAACAGACATTTGCCTGTTGAGCCTCTATGTACATATACTTTTTCACATTAGGCCTTTTCCTTTCATTAGTGTCAGACAACTCTTGCATCCATCATCGCTATCCATACATTTAATTTCATGTTTTTGTACCACTCCCATGCTTCATGCCCACCTCCTAATCTCCTTTCGAGCTTGGTCGGATGTGGCAATCAGATTAGCATTCACCTCTTCCAAGTCGGGACAGGAGTCATATTTCTTGCCATCTTGAGCAAGCAGCTGTTCAACCTCAAACTCTCCACGGACACAACTAGCTCTATGCACCTGCCATGATGTTTGCTAATAGTTTTAAACAAATACATTTTTATGGAAAAATGTTACTACTAGGTATTGTCAGATCCTCTCTTCTGATAAAGTTGAGATCGTACTGCCATTGAATAAATCCAGAGTCCTAAATACTAGAGACCTAAAAAAAACAAGAATTCTGTCCCTGTAATCCAAATACACAACAACAACTTAAATAGGTGAAAATAAAGAAATCAATTTATAAGGTTAATGTTATCATCCAGAACTAAATGTCCCAAAATATACAGTAGGTGCCCACAACTTCCAATTTCCCTGTTCTACATCACATCACTAACATGTGAACTAACAGCAAGTTAGAGCTAATAACAGTTGACTGTTTATTCTTTAATTTGACAGTCCAATTGATTTACTGTGTAATTAAATAACCAGAGTAGATCATTAGAAACATCATGTGACCCTCTGTATCTTGCCCAGCAATTTCTTGCAAACAGCCAAAGAACTCCAGGAATAACTATTTTTCTAAGCATCCTGAATATTCCAGTCTTTAAGGGAAATGTACTGTAGAAGTAACTGTGAAAAATCTAAACTATGCTACCCCCAAGTCATAACAGAATTCTAACTGTACATTAATATGCTGACTTTCTTAAAATTTTTGCTTAATTTTTTTTTTCTTTTCAAACTTTAGAAATGTTTCACTCTTGCTAATAATTTACAATGTACTGTATTGGCATTTCTTTTTCAGAATCTAGATATGGATATGATGAATTATGCAGCCCTGAAGTTTTCTCACAACAAAACCAGGAGGAAGAGTAGTGAGATGGACACACAGGTTGTGTATGCTGATGTGAGACATCAACAAATGAACTGAATCAACACACTTGATCAAAAAATCAAGACCCTTGCCTACAAAAACTATAATTTAATGGAATATCAGATGGCTGTTGGAAATAAAAAACAGTGTTCTTTCAAATAAGAATAAGAGTAATTATTTAACTTGTACATCAAGTTGTGAGAGTCCTGATTATTATGTTTTTCAAAGTCAAATGACAGTTAAAAATAATTTAATGTCACTTATTATGTGCTTTGCTATGTTTTACTTTTAAATATACAATACTGTATGCAAAGCAAAATGTCATTTTCCTTTAAACTGTAGTCGCATTAGTAATTTAGATGGACATACAAAAAATAATGAAATAAAACAATAAAATAAAGTTATTACGAAGAGTTGTTTAGTTTCTGTGTGTGCATATTATACTTGCAGAAATAGTAATATTGTGCAACATTTTCATAATGCATCAGAAAAATTCTTATGAACACTAAAGGTGTCTCTCTATATACAGTATGTTTTTCTTTCAATGCTAGAATTCAGTTCTTAGTATAGCAGTTCTTAGTATAGAAGAGGGAGAGGTTAAAAGAGATGAATTAGATGTCAGTCAGTCATCACTGGCAGCCAGTGATGGGAAAAAGTGGGATAGTGGGGGAATAGAGACATTGTTTAGTTAATAAGTAAAATAATTATTTATAACCCCCAACTTGTAATTGCCTTTTCCAGAATATACCCAAGCAGTTGGTATGATTACAGGCAAGTGAATTGTTCTTTGTTCTCTGGTTCTTTGTTCTCTTTGATGAGTGGAGTAAAAATGGGTTATACTAATGTTATAATAATTATATTATTAATGACAACCATTATTATAATATCATAATAATGGGCACCATTAGTTAAACCAGTATTTATTACAATGACAAGACACAGACTTCACTACGCACAACAAAACATACAACACACTAGTAACTCTATGTATGGTATTAACAAACAAGGCGTTTCAGAGTCTTAACATTCTGGTCACCCAGAAAACCCCAAACAGCTACTAAGCAAGTGCTATAAGGAGGCAGCCCCTCCATCGCACTTGGGCGTGAGGCTAACTACCCCATCCTGTAAAAAGTAACAGTTGCGAAACTGACCGGATCCTAGGAATCGACCAAAGCATGGAAAAGGATTTGATCTTTGGATTGTGACCTTGAATGTTCTTAGTCTATATAAAGCGGGGGCTCTTAGGAGCTTAGTAAATGAGCTAGACAAGTACAATGTAGGAATAGCGGCACTACAGGAGATTAGATGGAGAGGTACCGATATAATGCAATGCAAAGACTATGCTTTTCTATAGCGGTAGTAAGACCCAAATGCTTGGTACTGGCTTTGCGGTCCGGAAAGAGTATAAGAGTGCAGTTATTGCCTATAAAGCCAGGAATGAACGCCTCTGCAAGACCTGGATGTTTAATGTAACATTGATGTACACGCATGCCCCTACTGAAGAAGCTGAAGATGAAGAAAAAGAGAGCATATGACAAAGCTCCATGTCATGACAAGATTATCCTTGGAGATATGAATAATAATAATAATAATAATAATAATAATAATAATAATAATAATAAT